ACAGATGATCCTGTCACCATAGCCTTCCGTCCTCACAGCTAACAGGTCCCAGCCAATTTTTTCAGGAGGTGATCATATAAGTGTTGGCTTTCAGAGACACATATATGCTATATTTTTTTCACACAGACCTTTCACATGTTGTTCTTCAGAGGTGATCACAAGCAGTTGTTCTTCAGAGGTGACCATTACAAGCGTTAGCTTCAGGTGACAGCGTTGCCTCTCGATAAGATCACAGTGCTGTTCTTCAGAGGTGACCATAGCTGAGGTGACTACAGTCGTTAAATCGCAACGTCTGCTTACGCACGTAGAGGTCACCAGTGTGACGGGTTGCCGGCACGTCGCCGGTTTGCAGTCGGGTTAACTCGATGCGGGAGTCCTGCTGCTCACCGTCGAGTCCGTTGAGACGCACATTCGATCTGATACCCTGCATACGTGTTTACCTTGTGCCTTGCCTGACCACGCCTTCCTTTACTCGTGCCAGTGCCACTTGTCAGGCGTGGTCCAGGGAAGAACAAAGGTGTCGGGAGCTTCCATTTAAACTTGTATGAGAGGCCCACCTTGTTGCTCATACTGAACTCGACCTACAGGAAATCCTAAACACCTGCGCAGATGCATATGTGCACTCTGGCCTTAAGGAATGTGCATAAGACTCAGATTCTTTTCAACCTGTCTTAAGTTCTGATACACTTCAACTATCCATCCAGCTTAATGGGTACTACCTTCTATTGTTCCACTTTCAGTTTCCTTGTTCCACCTGTTCACACCACACATTATCGATGAAGAGATTCAGCACCGGATCAGATGTGATTTCAAGCCTTTGTGACCTGAAACCGTGTTCAGTTGTAAGGGTGAAATTTTCTAAAGTTGTATTTATATCGAGCAGTGTCTCTCCAATTTCTGCTATATGGAAGTGAGAGTTGTGTCACATTATAGCAGGAAGCACTTTCATGGAACTTGAAAAATTTCACCAACGTAGTCTACGTTAATCCTCTGAGTTTTCTATAGGAATGCTAGAAAAAAATGCTAGTATTCTTGTTGACATCAATTGTAGGAGCATCGAGGCTACTATTATCCATGAACATCTGCGCTGTGGCAATGTTACATGCATGGGACGACGGTAGACCGTCAGCAGCTACTTTACAGTCACTCAACGAATTGTAAAACGTACGCCGGGGTAATTCCAAAGGTATATGGATAGTCTTAAGACAAACCTGAAAAAGTGCTAAATCCAACCCACTCAAATGGGTGTTGATTACTCCACATCGTAACGTTTATGAGCACCACACGAGAAGGTGTCAATACTTTCGAGTTAGCCTGACTGCAAACCGAGGTAGACAAGCGGCGACACCGGTAAGACGCTAACAACGTCTATCTCTGCACTAGTTGGAGCCTTCATTTGTGCATAGAATGTTGACGACACTGGGGTACCGTATCGGTTTATTTAGTCACCTCAAAACCTACCAACGTAGGTAAACTCGATTCTGGTGAAATTGGGAGACTGGGTTCTTGATTGACAAGCTTCATTATGGTAGGTCTTGTTGATGCAGGTGGTAGAGGTGATTTGCCACAGTAGAAGAGGTATCGCACCTAGGGCTGTTTATGTCATGAATTCTTTCAAGTACCTGGAACTTGTTGTTGTGATTTATATGATTATGGGGAGCTTAGAATTGTAGTAATTAACATGAGTTACTGCAATTTCTGAAGCACTAACACTTCTGTGAGTCACCTCCTGAAGACTAACACTTCTGTGAGCCACCTCCGGGTTTTGGTTGAAGCACTAACACTTCTGTGAGCCACCTGAAGACTAGGAGTCACCCTGGAAGCACTAACACTTGTGAGTCACCTGAAGGACTGGGACACTGGTGAGCCACCTCCTGAGCACTAACACTTCTGTGGCCTGGAAGCACTAACACTTCTGGTGGAGCCGTTCTCTGACGAACTAACACTTCTGTGAGTCACTTCTGGAAGCATCTACACTGGAGCCACCTCCTTGAAGCACTAACACTTCAGAGCCACTCCTGTAGTATTAACACTTCTGTGAGCCACCTCTTGAAGCACTAACACTCTGTGAGCTACCTTTGAGTACTAACACTTTGAGAGTCACCTGAAGCACTAACACTTCTGAGCCACCTTGAGCCTACAACACTTGAGAGATACCTCCTGAGCACTAACACTTCTGTGGTTTCACCTCCTGATGAAACTAACACTCTGTGAGTCACCTCTGACGAACTAATATCTTCTTTGAGTCACCCTGAAAGCACTACCACTTCGGAGCCACCTCCTGACGAACTAACACTTCTGTGAGTCACCCTGAAGAACTAACACTTTGAGTCACTGCCTGAAGCACTACCACTCCTGGAGCCACCCCTGAAGCACTACTTACTTCTGTGAGCCACCTCCCTGACACTACACTTCTGTGAGTCACCCCCGAAGCACTAACACTTCTGGTGAGCCACCTCCGAAGAAGTAACACTTGTGTGTGAGTCACTCTGAAAAAAATAATTACTTGAGATGAGTTACCTGAAGTGCAACACTTAATGAGAGCTCCTGAAGAAGTGAAGCACTCCCCTGAAGAAGACTTATATGTGTCACCTCCTGAAGAAGTAGCACTTATATGTGTCACCCCTGAAGAAGTAGCACTTATATGTGTCACCTCCTGATGAAGTAGCATCTATATGTAAGCCACTCCTGAAGAAGTACACCATGTGTCAATTTCCTGAGAAGTAGCACTTAGGTGTGTCTCAGAAGAAGTAACACTTATATGAGTTACCTCCAAAGCAGTGTACATTCTATATGAGTCACCTCCTGAAGAACTAACACATGAGTCACCGAGGAACTAACACGTGAGTCACCTCCCGAAGAAGTTACACTTATGTGAGAGTCACCTCCTGAAGAACTAACACTTATGTGAGTCACCTTCTTCGAAGGAAGTAACACTTATGTGAGTCACCTCCCGAAGAACTAACATTATGAGTCACCTCCGAAGAACTAACACTTATGTGACACCTCCGAAGAACTAACACTTATGTGAGTCACCTCCTGAAGAAGTAGCACTTGTGAGTCACCTCTGAAGAACTAACACCTTATGTGAGTCACCTCCCTGAAGAACTAACACTTATGTGAGTCACCTCCTGAAGAACTAACACTTATGAGTCACCTCCTGAAGAACTAACACTTTATGTAGTCACCTCCTGAAGACGTAACACTAGTGAGTCACTCTGAAGAACTAACACTTATGTGAGTCACCTCCTGAAGAACTAACACTTTGTGAGTCACCTCCTAAATAGCTAACATTATATGAATCACTTGAGGAGTAGTAGCACTTATATAGGTCACCTGAAGTAGTAAATAAATGAGTCACCTTGGAAGTAGGTAATAAATGAGTCACCTCCGAAAAGTAACATTTATGCAGTCACCTCTCAAGAAGTAGAAACACTTTGTATATGTGCAACTTCCTGAAAAATAACACTTATATGAGTCACCTCCTGATGAAGTAGCACTTTGTATATGTGTCACCTCCTGAAAAATAACACTTATATGAGTCACCTCCTTAAGAAGTAACACTTATATGGAGTCACCTCCATGAAGTAGCATTATATGTGTCACCCTGAAGAAGTAGCACTTATATGTGTCACCTCTCTGAAGAAGTAATACTTATATGAGTCACCTCCTGAAGAAGTAGCACTTTATATGTGTCACCCCGATGAAGTAGCACTTATATGTGTCACCTCCTGAAGAAGTAGCACTTATATGTGTCACCTCCTGAAGAAGTAACACTTATATGAGTTACCTCCTGAAGCAGTAACACTTATATGAGTCACCTCAAAGAAGTATTACTTATATATGTCTCCCTGAAGAAGTAGCACTTACGTAAGTCACCTCCTGAAGAAATAACACTTATAAGTGTCACTTCCTGAAGAAGTAATACTTATATGAGTCACCTCTGAAGCAGTAACACTATATGTGTCACTTCCTGAAGAAGTACCACTTATATGTGTCACGTCCTGAAGTAGGACTCATATGTGTCACCTCCTGAAGAATTAGAACTTATATGTGTCACCTCCCGAAGAAGTAGTGACTGAACTGGCCCTTTAACCTCGATTCCTTTCAGTTAATGAGGCTGGAACATGATATTATAGAGGGCTTTAGTAGCCAAACGCAATTGTCTGTTATTTATTTATTGAGGAACTATCTCAGATACAGTTCCCAGTGTATATCAACTTAATCACTGTAGCTATGAGTGTTAATGAGGACGATATTATGTTACATAGCTCCGGTTGGTGTTGGGACAATGCCTAATACCCGTCGAGGGAGAACGGTAATATACTGCCTCGAGGGAAGACGGAACCATCCACGATGGCTCCTGTGTAACGTCTTCCTCTCGTCAAGGATATCAAACTACTGCCGCATCAGGGGCCAGAGAACCGGCTACTTAATGCCTTAGCTCAGCACTATGACACGACTTCCTGTGGGCACACCTTATCACGTTCTCTGAACATGAGCCCTCATAGCTAGTGGAAAGTTACAGAGGTGATAGAGATATATAAATCAATTGTAATTAATCCTATTATATAATAATGCTGCTTATAAGACAGGGGGTTATTACAGTACTATATGTGTTCTCCAAAGAAGTAACACTTATATGAGTCATCTCCTGAAGAAGTAGCACTTATATGTGTCACCTCCTGAATAAGTAACACTTATATGAGTCATCTCCTGAAGAAGTAGCACTTATATGTGTCACCTCCTGAAGAAGTAACACTTATATGTGTCACCTCCGAAGAAGTAACACTTATATGAGTCACCTCCGAAGAAGCAACACTTATATGTGTCACCTCCTGAAGAAGTAACACTTATATGAGTCACCTCTGGAAGAAGTAGCACTTATATGTGTCACCTCCTGAAGAAGTAACACTTATATGAGTCACCTCGAAGAAGTAGCACTTATATGTGGTACCTCCTGAAGAAGTAGCACTTATATGTGTCACCTCCTGAAGAAGTAACACTTATATGAGTCACCTCCTGAAGAAGTAACATTTATATGAGTCACCTCCTGAAGAAGTAGCACTTATATATGTCACCCTGAAGAAGTAGCACTTATATGTGTCACCTCCTGAAGAAGTAACACGTATATGAGTCACCTCCTGAAGCAGTAACACTTATATGAGTCACCTCCTGAAGAAGTAGCACTTATATATGTCACCTCCTGAAGAAGTAGCACTTACGTAAGTCACCTCCTGAAGAAATAACACTTATATGTGTCACTTTCTGAAGAAGAACACTTATGAGTCACCTCGAAGCAGTAACACTTATATGAGTCACCTCTGAAGAAGTAGCACTTATATGTGTCACCTCCTGAAGAAGTAACACTTATATGAGTCACCTCCTGAAGAAGTAGCACTTATATATGTCACCCCTGAAGAAGTAGCACTTACGTAAGTCACCCCTGAAGAAATAACACTTATATGTGTCACCTGAAGTTGTAACACTTCTGTGAGTCACGTCCTGAATAAGTAACACTTGTGTGAGTCAACTCCTGAAGAAATAACACACGAGTCATTTGCTGCAAAAGTAGTACATGAATCACTGCCTGATGAAGTAACACTTACATGAGTTTTACTGAGGAAGTAACACTCTAAAAGTTGTCTCTAAAAGCCACACTAATTGTTGGGTTTCCGTCACGAACATTTAACATGAAAGAGCGAGTCCAGCACTAAATTGCCTGCAGACAGTTTCCGACAAAGACCGGTTGTGCTTACTTGAGAGAGAGAGAGAGAGAGAGAGAAGTTATTAACACTCGCCCTGTACACCGTCACAACAGTAAAACATTTAGGAAAGTTGTAACATGTTCCAGCAAGTCACTCTGAGACAGCCACTGCCCACTGTAGGAGTTAACCAACTTGTGTGTCCCTTTATGAAAACACAAAGAAACTAATTATCAGACAAGTTTCATTATCAACATTAATTGGGCTGTTCTGAAACATAACACGCATGTCCTCATCTCCTGACCGTCTCATTCATACTGCCCTCATTGTCTGGACGTCGGATATGCAATGAAGGCAAACGGGGACAACTCATATCCCTAAATATGGAGACAATTTTTGTAATTTGTGAACACAATGTTATTCTGTGTTTCTTGGCCTCTCTTCAGAGTACTGTATTACTATAATAACATTCTATTAAAGGCCACTGATATGTAGACAATACTTCCAGTGAACAAATTCCAGTTGTGGCCCTGCGATTCTATATAATGCAGTTGTTTACGATTTTCTAACTTGTGATGTTCAACAGACTAATTACAAACTCGTAGGACAACAGCAGCCAGGGTGAAAAATTTCTGCCATATTTCAAATAGATTACATAACTCAAAGGTTTATCGTGAGTTCCAGAAATCAAGCAGTTACCATAAATGATGGACGTAAGTTTATGAGGAGGCCATAATAAAGTGTACCCGTCACATTATTGAGGGAGCATGCTACAGCTACAAGTAGTTAACATAAACATACTACAGCTACAAGTATAGTTAACATAAACATACTACAGCTACAAGTATAGTTAACATAACATACTACAGCTACAAGCATAGTTAACATAAACATACTACACAGCTACAAGTATAGTTAACATATAAACATACTGCAACTACAAATACAGTTAACATAAGCATACTACAGCTACAAATACAGTTAACATAAACATGCACTACAGCTACAAGTATAGTTAACATAACATACTACCTTTACAAGTATAGTTAACATAACATACTACACAACTACCATTATAGTTAACATAAACATACTACAAGCTACAAGTACGAATTTAACATAAACATGCACAAAGCTACAAGTATAGTTAACACCAAACATACTACAAAGTATAGTTAACATAACATACTACAGCTACAAGTACAGTTAACATAACATACTGCAGCTACAAGTATAGTTAACATAACATACTACAGCTACAGAAATTGCAGTTAACATAAAGCATACTACAGCTACCAAGTACAGTTTGCATGGCATACACACAGCTACAGAGTATAGTTAACATAGAAAGCAACACTACCAAGTATAGTTAACATAACATACTACAGCTACAAGTATAGTTAACATAACATACTACAGCTAAATGTAATTAACAAAACATACTACAGCTACAAGTATAGTTAACATAAACATACTACAGCTACAAATACAGTTAACATAAACATACTACAGCTACAAGTACAGTTAACATAAACATACTACAGCTACAAGTATAGTTAACGCAAGCATACTACAGCTACAAGTATAGTTAACATAACATATACACAGCTACAAGTATAGTTAACAACATACTACAGCTACAGAGTATAGTTAACATAAAGCATACTACAGCTACAAGTATAGTTAACACTAAACATACTACAGCTACAAGTACAGTTAACATAACGCATGTACTACAGCTACAGAGTATAGTTAACATAAACACATACTACAGCTACAGGTATAGTTAACATAAACATACTACAGCTACAAGTATGGTTAACATAAACATACTACAGCTACAGGTATAGTTAACACAACATGCTACAGCTACAGGTATAGTTAACATAAACATACTACAGCTACAAGTATAGTTAGCATAAACATACCACAGCTACACGTATAGTTAACATAAGCATACTACAGCTACAAGTATAGTTAACATAAACATACTACAGCTACAAGTAAATTTAACATAAACATACTACAACTAAAAATACAGTTTAACAAACATACTACAGCTACAAGTATAGTTAACATAAACATACTACAGCTACAAGTATAGTTAACATAAACATACTACAGCTACACGTATAGTTAACATAACATACTACAGCTACAAGTATGGATTAACATAAACATACTACGGCTACAAGTAGTTAACATAAACATTCTACAGCTACAAGTATAGTTAACATAAACATACTACAGCTACAAGTATAGTTAACATAAAGCATACTACAGCTACAAGTACAGTTAACATAAACATACTACAGCTACAAGTATAGTTAACATAAACATACTTCAGCTACAAAAGGTATAGTTAACACCAACATGCTACAGCTACAAGTATAGTTAACATAAACATACTACAGCTACAGTATAGTTAACATAACATACTACAATACAGAAACAGTTAACATAAACATACTACAGCTACAAGTATAGTTAACATAAACATACTACAGCTACAAGTATAGTTAACATAAACATACTACAGCTACAAGTATATGATTTAACATAACATACTACAGCTACAAGTATAGTTAACATAACATACTACAGCTACAAGTATAGTTAACATAAACATACTACAGCTACAAGTATAGTTAACATAACATACTACAGCTACAAGTACAGTTAACATAACATACTACAGCTACAGAGTATAGTTAACAAGAAACTACTACAGCTACAAGTATAGTTAACATAAAAACATACTACAGCTACAAAATTATAGTTAACAGAAGCATACTACAGCTACAAGTATAGTTAACATAACATACTACAGCTACAAGTATAGTTAACATAAACATACTACAGCTACAAGTATAGTTAGCATAAACATGCTACAGCTACACGTATAGTTAACATAAACATACTGCAGCCTACAAGTATATATTAACATAAACATACTACAGCTACAAGTAAACATAAACATACTACAGCTACAAGTATAGTTAACATAAACATACTACAGCTACAAGTATAGTTAACATAAACATACTACAGCTACAAGTATAGTTAACATAAACATACTACAGCTACAAGTATAGTTAACATAAACATACTACAGCTACAAGTATAGTTAACATAACATACTACAGCTACAAGTATAGTTAACATAAACATACTACAGCAGCTACAAGTATAGTTAACATAAACATACTACAGCTACAAGTAGTTAACATAAACATACTACAGCTACAAGTATAGTTAACATAAACATACTACAGCTACAAGTATAGTTAACATAAACATACTCAGCTACGTATAGTTAACATCAACATACTACAGCTACAAGTATAGTTAACTAACATACTACAGCTACAAGCATAGTTAACATAAAGCATACTACAGCTACAAGTATAGTTAACATAAACATACTACAGCTACAAGTATAGTTAACATCAGCATACTACAGCTACAAATACAGTTAACATAAACATACTACAGCTACAAGTATAGTTAACATAAACATACTACAGCTACGGTATAGTTAACATAAACATACTGCAGCTACAAATACAGTTAACATAAACATACTGCAGTACAAGTATAGTTAACATCACATACTACAGCTACAAGTATAGTTAACATAACATACTAAGCTACAAGATAGTTAACATAAACATACTACAGCTAAGTATAGTTAACATAAACACTACAGCTACAAGTATACAAGTAAAAGTTAACATAAACATACTACAGCTACAAGTATAGTTAACATAAACATACTACAGCACAAGTATAGTCCTTATAAACATACTACAGCTACAAATACAGTTGTATAAACATACTACAGCTACAAGTACCAGTTAACATAAACATACTACAGCTACAAATACAGTTAACATAAACATACTACAGCTACAAGTATGGTAACATAAACATACTACCCAGCTACAAGTATGGATAACATAAACATACTACAGCTTCTAGTATAGTTAACATAAACATGCACAGCTTCTAGTATGAATTAACATAACATACTTCAGCTTCTGAAGTATAGTTAACATAAGCATACTACAGCTACAAAGTGAGTTAACATAAACATACTACAGCTACAAGTGCAGTTAACATAGGCATACTGCAGCTACAAGTACAGTTAACATAAACATACTACAGCTAGCATGATTAACATAAACATACTACAGCTACAAGTATAGTTAACATAAACATACTACAGCTACAAGTATAGTTAACATAACATACTTCAAGCTACTAGTATGGTTAGCATCAACATA